GAGCACTGGGTGTTATGCACAAACAATGAATCATGGAACACTACATCTAGAACTAATGATGTAATGTATGGGGATTAACATAAGAATAAAAAAAAAAAGTAAAAAAAAAAAAACTGGAAAAAAAAAATCAGGTAGGAGGTAGCATTAAATGAGCAAGCACATATTTTCACATACATTCTCTAATCTGACTCTTAAAACCACCTTGTGAAAAAGATGGGGCATGTATTAGCCCTATCTAGAGAAAATCAAGTAAGTGAATTAGTGGGACAAAAAACCCCCAATAATCTCAACCTATGCTCATAATTCAGTATAAAAACACCCCAAATAAAGTTTAAACATTAAAATGAATATATTTAAGGCAACTACTACTGACCTTGACATAAGGTGGAGCTAAGGATGACAGATGCCACTTCACTTCTGTGTTACCATGATTCTCAAGTTCCAGAAAATTTTCTACAAGGAACACACATGTCACAACTCAAACAATTCTTGGAGGAGTAAACAAGCAGATTACTGTGATAATGTGTAATAATGACTAATTATCTCATCATAGGGGAAAGATACACTCATCCGATCCTTAGAGGAGCCCAATGGGAATTTACAGTATTTTTTAACAAAATCAAATTTGACAGGTATTTTGTTTTGGATTTAATCAAAGGATAATGAAGAGCTTAAGCAAGAGAGCTATAAGATGATATACATGTTATTTTAAAGAGTTACTGGCTGCTGTGGAGAGGAGAGACCACAAGGGGGTCAGAGTGGATGAGGAGCCCCAGTAAAATGCCATGGCAGCAGTTGTGTTGAGAGAACACATGAGGGGTGGTCTGCATCAGGCTTGAGTCATGGCAGTGGGAGGAAAAGCAGCAGGCAGACAGGGGATCCATTCTGGAGACGGACCACAAAGGACTTGCTAGTGGACAGTGTGGGAAGAGGGAGGAAGCAAAGAACAAATAACTTCCAGGGATTTGGCTTAATGAGCAGGTAGTGAGGCCACTTACTGACATGGGCAGGGCTGGAGAAGAGGCAGGTTTCATGGGTAAAACAAGAGTTCTGTTTGTGAGATGCCAGCACACAGAAGCTGAGTGGGGTGCAGGGAGAGCCTAGAGAAAGAAGGGGACAGAGGCAGGCCCAGGAAGAAAAAGAGTCATCAGCGAAACCTGAGAAGGAGCATGTGAAGCAGGGAAAACCAGGAGAGGCACAAGAAAAAAAGTAGTCCAAGGAGGAAGGAGTGGTCGCCAGTGTTGAGGGGTCAAATTAACAAAGACCCATAGAAGAGACAATCCCTTTTCGGTGACCTCAATAGCAGGGTCAGGGCAAGGTGGCAGCACCACTTCGTTTACAGCCCGAGGAAATGAAAGCAGGGAGCATAACCCTTCCAGGAGGGAGGGGTGTCATGGAAGCGGGGAGAGCAGCAAGGAGAGGTGGGGCCAAGAAAGGCATTCCTTAAACATGTGATGGCAGAGTGTACTGTGTGCCAACGGAAAGGCATCAACAAAGGGAGAAACTGAGGACAAAGGAGAGAGAAGGGGCAGAGGAAGGCCCTGAGGAGGCAAGAATAGATGGGCCTAGATTCCAGGCAGAAAGGTTTGTCTGGGATGGAAATAGAAGCCTCACATTTAGTCTAACGGCTTTTGTATTTGCAATGATGTGTGAGGCAAAATCGAGAGCTGGAAGAGTGAGAGTAGGAGCAGGGGAGGGGCACTGAGAAGAGAGACGTTGTCAGATGACTACAGGAAACGGGGAAGGACACACACCAAGGAGGGCTGCTAAGAGAAGCGTGGTGCTGAGTGGCATCTGAGAGCAGAGACCCCGAATGCGTGGCTTTCTCCAGCAGCTGCGCCGCTACAGGAGAGACACGGAGCTGGTAGATGGCTGGCTCTCACAAGGGTCCGGATCTTGCCAGTCAGGAATGCAGAGGGAGGGGCACACAGCAGTTGAGAGCGTTTCTAAGGCAGTAATTGCAGTGACAGAGCACAGAATTCAGGCAGAAGCGGCCAAGGCTGGGGTGGGGGAGAGTGAGGAGGCAGCAGGGCCAGCGGCCTGGACGTCTAATGAGGCCAGAGAGCCGCTGGGACTCCTGGAGGACGCGAGCGGGGTGGACGGAGCCAGGGGATGGGCGATGACCGGGGAGGGACAGGCTTCACGGGCAGTGGAAACTGAGTGTGAGTGGAAGTGAGAGAGGCAAGGAGTGAGGGCCAGGTGACAGAAGGCCCACACCCTTTCCAACAGGTCCCACGTGCAATCCCAGTCACTTAGATGAGCCATCACAGGGAGGGAGGGAGAGAGGGAGGGAAAGCAAAAGCAGTGTTCTCAGGACCCTGGAGGAACATTAGCAAGACTGAGTGCCTACTAGGTGACAAACACTATGCCAAGTGCTTTAAATATACTATTTCATTTATTCCTCAAAGCCCTCTGTGAGAGGAGTCAATTATGATGGCCATTTTACAAATGGGGAAACTGAGCATATTTATTTAACCTCTTAGTGCCTCAAAGTCTCATTAGTGAGGGAAAGAACCAGGTTTTACCTACTTTCTCCTCTTCTTCAGCTGCTAACTTATTAGCAGCTCTGGTAAAAGATCTAGTGAGTGCTGAGGAGGGATGGTTCTGACCAGGTAGAATCTGAGACTCCGGAATATAAACAGTTCTTAAACACCTACATTTTATCATTTTTAAGCTCCCCCAAATCTGGCCTGTCATGGAAATGACTGCCAACGACAACCTGAGTCTCTCCTGAAATAGGGGACAATTTTATCCCTGTCACTACGATAAAGGTCACTAAGAACACAGAGTGTTAGACTCAACAGATCAGTGGCCATGTGAATTCTATAACCTTGTGATATCATACCTGAAGTTTCACCAGGTTCTGTTGCAGGAAAAGTAACAGTCTTGTTTCTTATCTCAACTTTTGTGGAAGGTGGTTTTGTCATTGGTTTCACCAGGTAACTAACTGGAGGCTCAGTTCCTGGAGAAAGGACTCCAAATGTGTTGGAGGCCAAATGAGTGAGGAGTTCTTTCTGGGTTAAGTCTTCACGAATTTGAACTTTCACAATTTTCTGAAATGAGCCAAATAAAGGAAGTAAGACACAAATGGATCTATCATTTTAAAGAAACAATTCTTATTTTTAAAACATAGTGGAGAAAAGTAATGCCAAACAAATGAAACATGGATGGATGAGAAAATTTATTCAGATCTCAAAGTAAATCTTTGACTCTTCCTCTCTCTCTCCCCCAACTCCCTTCTTTTTCAAAGCAGATTCTGCAAGTTAATAATGGTTTCTAGGCTCCACTCTCCATTCTTGCCCTACCCAGGAGAATCGTTCAGATCACTAATGGAAAAACTCTGTGCTAAGTTCTCTATCTGAATAAGTCTAGCTGGGCTGAAAGAACAGGTCCCTTCATTTCATTTCTGAAAAGTAAGTGCTAATAAGGATCACAACACTTAAGCTGCAAAATAAGAAAAACATTGCTAAAAAAAACAAAGTACCTTCTGTCCATTGTCACAGTGTATATAGATTAAACCACTCCATGGGAACATTGAATGTTTTGTGGATAAGGAGGAATTAGGACTCACAAGAATTTGTAGCTTACTCCTGAAAAAAAGAATTTAGTAATGAAAACCAAGAGTATCCTATACTTTAATAGCAATAACCACTAGAGTTATATATATTCTGTCAATGACCAGCTCTCCTTGTTGCTCAGAAAGAGCAGAGAAGGGGCGCTGCCTGTGTGGCTCAGTTGGTTAAGCGTCTGCCTTCAGCTCAGGTCATGACCCCAGGGTTCTGGGATTGAGCCCCACATCGGGCTCCCTGCTCAGCGAGGAGTCTGCTTCTCCCTCTCCCTGCTGCTCTGCCTACTTGTGCTCTCTCTCTGTCAAATAAATAAATAAATAAAATCTTTAAGGAAAAAAAAGAAAGAGCAGAAAAGAGGTGAGATCCCATATATGTCTGCAACAGCCCCAACTCAGTGGCTAACAAAAAGTTGAGTGGCATAAACCCATGAACCTAAGGGGAAAACTCATGTGAAAACAGCCCATACCAGAGAAATACCATTTAAAAAGCAATTCAAAATAAAAATTTCTGGAGCACAAGACCAATCTACAAAAGCTCTGATCCACTTGATAACAAAGGATGATACAGTTATAGTACAAAGAGAATTAAACAGCAGGAAAAGAAACTGGAAGAAAAAGGGAGAGGGGGTGGAAAGGAAATAAAAAAAAAACTGTTTTTTACCCAATTGCTAAAACTTTCTGAGCTCATTATTCTCTTCAAGAGCTATGGAATGTCAAAGATGACTTTTAAATGTGGACAATGTAATCAGATTTGTGACTCAGAAGAAACAACCAGTTACAAAAGACACTTTGGCACCCATGTCAAAAATCGCAGAGCAAGGGTGCCTGGGTGGCTCAGACAGATGAGCCTTCAGCTCATCCTGGGATTGAGGGCCGAGTTGGGCTCCCCGCTCAGTGGGGAGTCTGCTTCTCCCTCTGCCCCTCCCCCAACTGTTCATGCACTCTCTCTCTCAAACAAATAAATAAAATAAAATCTTTAAACAAATGGCAGAGCAAGATTATTTTCCGTTCCTAACAGCTAAATATGTGGGATGATTTTAAAAATTATTTGTGAACAATCTGTTCTATCATTTCCCTATCTTTTCAACCTTAATTAGTAAATGTTTAATTGATTGCTTTGGTCCTAGGAATGTTTCTCTGGAGCATGCCTAACCATACCTTAGGTCAGTATTAGTCAACTAAACTCTTTTAAAATGCAAACTTCATCACTTTGCAAAAGTAAATAAACCTCATGTTGCTCTTCCGCAAAGTTGCCATTCCCAAATAGGAAGCAACTTTGAGATGTGAATGTTCTGTGCCCACCCAGATGAAGTCCCTGAAAAGCTGCAGAATTACAGCTTTACCTCCTATCAATAGTTAAGCTGCACCTAGAGGACTACTTATCAGCATTTGGTCCCCAAGATTTCCTTCTTAGAAAATTATTTGTAAAAAATGGCAAGCTAGGTTATGGTTCAGACTTATTAAAAGTCAGGACGCTTTGTCTATAAAATGTCCTTTAGACAAAACCAGCAGAATAAGTTGAGCCAGACCCAAGGTAATGAAGTACAGAACCATCTGGGCTTTAGGGACCACCACCCCTCATCATCTGCCCAGCTGTATCCCTTGCTTTGTAATTTGGTACACAGAGTAATACGTCTGCACAATCTGATGTCTTCCACTTCAGGAACTCTTTCCCATCTCACTCATGTCTCTTAACCCTTTTAGGCTATATACACACTAAGTGGCTGTGGACATGGGCTCTACTCTGCTAAAGAGAATGAATCTTGAACTTCATTGTGGTCCCACAAAACCACATGGAGCTCTGTATAGGGAGCATATGGTAAAATTCTACTGAATAAATTAAAATGGCATAATATCCGATCCTTCAAAAATGTCACCATGATAACATCTGAATAACATCTGGAGGAAAGGGAAGTCATACTTACTCTGGCGGGATAAATCCATGTTGTGGTGTTACCGTAAGGCAATGTGCTGGCCAGTACAACTCAAATTTCAGTAACCTAACGGAATTATTTAAAATCTGGAAACATGCAGTTTTTGCCAGATCACCTATTATATCAGATAAATAAAATATAACTTACATTTAGCATTAGTGAAAAAACCCAAATGTTAATAAATAGTAAAAAATGGAATTCTAAATACATTAGTCTACCAACTTAATTCTGCTTTACAGGAATTTCAAATCCCTGGTAAAATAAGACCATTTTGTTTACTCTTAAACTACAAAAATACTGAACAAAGAGAAAAAAAAGGACATCTGGAAATTGTTACCATCTGGTCTTATCTTGGGCACATACAGTGGTACCAGATTTGTTCCTACTCTGAAGCAACTATATCAATGTGAAGAGTAAAAGATGCCAAGTGCCAAATGAGCTCTTTGGGGCAAGGGATGTGGTGGGAGGAAGGGCCCATGGACGAGTGGCCCGGCCAGATGGGGTACTGGAAGCTTGGAATGAGGACAATGGCCTTGTGCTAGACAATGCTCAGGCTGAGTGTGAGGTAGGTCTCAGTAGGGGAGAGGAGGACCTGCATAAGCCACTGGTCACATCTGTATATACTCCAAGTATATTTCCTAGATGAGCAACGGGCCCAGAGTGAATACAGCCCTGGTTTTCAGAGTGCACTGCTGTTGTGTTGTTACTGATATACTCACAAGAAGGGGCTATCAAAATCAAGTGTTCAGGCTGGACAGTCCACATTTCCTTAGAGGATGATTTATCTTGAGGTGGGCAAACAGCTTGTGAAAGAAGTGGAGAACCCTGAGGACCTTTAACTGGTAAAATATCCAAAGAAACATTGCCACCATGTTTCCCAGAACCATCAGATTCACTATAGAGACAGAAAGAGAGAGGGGGAGAGGAAAGAAATTAAAAATGATAAAAAGCTTATGACTAAGAATGTTAACCATTTGCCATGCACTGCAAATGAAATACCATCTTTTCTCACCAACATTTTACTGTGATGTTTTACTTTTTGGTTGTACAGAAGCTGTGTATTAAAATATTATATTTCTGCTTTTTAAAAAAGATAAAAAGCCAGACTGTCACATTTTTATATTAATTGTTCATAAATCTAAAAACATTTAGATAAAACTAAAAGTGCACTATGGAATATACTCTGTATGTTTCATGGAATAAAAATTCTTCACTGTGTATTCTTAATGTATAAAAATATAGTATAGGTCAAATATTGTTATACTAACCTTTTATTAGAACACTCAGTGATTCAATTTCTTTCCTGTCTTGATTTTAGCATGCCATCTGAAGTCTCTTAAAAGACTTACTAGAAAACCACCCAATATTAAGAATTTTTAAAAAACAAAACTCTTAATATATCTGTAACTGTACAATGATAACTGGTTTCATGATGCTAACACCAAAGAAAGTCTTCTGGGCAAAATACTATGGTAAGAAATGCTGGTAAGGTTTAAGAAGATTTTTGATTAAGTGTTAAAAGTGTTTATTTAGCCTTAGATTACAAAAAATTGTAACTCAAATGAATTTTGTAATCACAGAGGCACATGACTTAATTGAAGTTCACCTGGGTAGTGCTCAAATTCTCCTACCATACAGCAGAGCTCCATCTTTATTTCCAGTAGACACTCAGCAGACAGAGAGGAATCCTCTCCTCACCCTCTTACCCATTACCCTCTCACCTGCTCCTTTTCCAACCAGACCTCTACTGCCCCAGAGACAGAGATACAATGGAGGTACCAGCCAAAAGTCAGAAACAATTTTTTAAAAATTATAAAGCTGGTTCTTGGCTGTTTATTTCCTAAGAACCAGTTCCTCACAATTTAAGTGGTTTTTAAGATAATTTTTAACATATGTAACTACTATCTTTAATTCTCTGATTGAATATCTTAGAAAAGAATTATCATTAAAAGTATAGGAATCCTTTTAATATATTGTTGAAATCAGTCTGCTAATATTTTGTGGAGGATTTCTGCATCTGTGTTCATCAAGGATACTGACATGTAATTTTCTTTTTTTACGGTGTTTTTGCCTTGTTTCTGTACCAGGGTAATTGCTGGCATCGTAAAATGAGTTTAGAAGCCTTCTTTCCTCTTTTATTTTTTGGAATCATTTGAGAAGGATAGATACTACCTTTAGTACAGCGAAGGAAATCATCAAAACAAAAGGAAAAGGCAACCTACTGAAAGGGAGAGGGTATTTGCAAATCATTTATCTGCTAAGAGGTTAATATCCAGATGATAGAAAGAACTTATACAACTCAGTATCAAAAAAATAAATAGCCTGATTAAAAAAATGGGCAGAGGACTTGAACATTTTCCCAAAGAAGGCATAGAGATGACCAAGAGACACATGAAAAGATGCTCAACATTACTAATCATCAGGGAAGTATAAATCAAAACCAGAAGAAATCACTGTAAGCCTCTCAAATTGGTTATTAACAAAGACAACAAATAAGTGCTAGCAAAGATGGAGAGCAAAGGGAACCCTTGTGCACTGCTGGTGGGAATGTAAACTGGTACAGCCCCTATGGAATATAGTATGGAGGTTCCTCAAAAAATTGAAAATAAAGCTACCATGTGATCCAGCAATTCTACTCTAAGTATTTATCCAAAGAAAATGAAAATACAAATCTGAAGAGATATATGCATCCCTATGTTCACTGCAGCATTATTTAAGATTTTATTTATTTATATGACAGAGAGAGATAGCGAGAACAGGAACACAAGCAGGGGGAGTGGGAGAGGGAGAAGCAGGCTTCCCGCTGAGCAGGGAGCCCAATGTGGGACTCGATCCCAGGACCC